CCGCTGTGTGTTCACGCCAGCGACCAGTGTGGTCAAACCAAAGCAATGAAGATCGTCAGTGCGCTTTTCGCCACTGTTATTCAATCATTGTGTCGCGTAACGCATCAGCTGCTGCTGCTGCGGCCGTGAAACATGCAAATGAGCGACTTGGTCTTCTGCCCACGAGGCTCTACAAATAAAAACACAAAACTAATCCTAGATTCATTCAAACGGAAGAACATATTTCAAATTGTGGTTCAAAAACATACACAGAGCTCTTAAACCATCACATAGCGAGGTGCCGTCAAATGATCGCTGTACACCTGCATTCGCTGTGATGGAGAAGTGAGAGTGACGAGCAAACGGACGTCACAACCTGGTGCAGAATAAAAATGTGACCCGTGCACTTTCTAGTGTGTGTGTGTGTGTGTGTGGACGTTGTTGCCGCACGCGCATCCTGATAGCAGAAATGGTTCAGTAAACGCATTCAGAGATTCAATTAGTAGCAGAAATTGGATCATTCTGTGTGCATGCGTAGGTATGTGTGTGCACGCGCGCATGTGTGTGTAGAGCATGATTCATGTGCGCCCTCAGCAGTCCCAGCGGTGACGCTCTAATAATTTATTCTAATCACTTCCTGCGCCCAGGGGAAGAGCAACAGAGGTACGATGCCAGAGGAGAGAGCGCCGACCTCCGGTCGGGTCACGTCTTCAAGCTGAACTACATTTCAGAGGCCCGCCGGAGGCCCTCTAACCAATTACATCATTTATTCAAGTTTTCCCGTGAAAATAAAGCACCATTTGTACTGCAACTGGTATTTATTTTTTGAAATACACATTTTCACCCCTCAGATGAAATCAGTGGGTGTTTTTCAAGTCAAAAGAAACCAAACGCATGTGTTTGAATTATCTTTTCAATGCATTTGAGAACCCCTCTCTCTTGTTGGACCATTGTCTGATAACCTCTGAACTACTTCCGGAATCCGCTCCTCTTGACAAAGATTTCTACAGTCAATGCTTATCGGATTCCACCGTAGCCTCATTTAAAGAAGTCATTCCTTCTGCTCTAAGTTCAGTGTCCTGTCTCAAGATATCAGAAGACTGCTGTGAGAACTTCAGTCCGTCCCAGATCGATCATCTCGATGCTGCTACAGGCTCTTTGAGAGTGCCGCTGGACGCTGTTGCTCCTCTGGAAAGAAGAACGGCAAGAAGAAGTAGGTCTGCTCCTCGGGAATAAACCCTCAAACCCGCAACTTAAAGCAAACTGTGTGGAAGCTTGAACGGTTATGAGAGGCTGGGTGTGTCCTGAGAAGTCCCCCGGCAGTCTAAGCCCATAGCAGCTTAACTAAGGGCTGGTCCGGGCCAACCTGAGCCAGCCCTAACTAAGACTCTAGGAACAAGTAAAGGCAGCATCTATGGAGCGCAGCTGCCACATGTGTTTAAAGGCTGTCTTGCCAAACTAGCTTATCTCCATCTAATTTGGTGGAACGTCTCTCCTTCTACAACAATCCACGTCTTATTAATGCACTAAATCACAAATTCAGTGTTTTTTTGTGCTTTCTCGCCTCGCTGGTCTCCGTAGATCGTGGTTCCGTCTGGACCCTGGTCCGTCTGGACTCAGCAGACACCCACCGCCGCTAACACCATTAATGTTCCCATTAATGCGCATCACTAACTTTGTTTCTTCCACGGAGTGTTTGTGCTTTCTCGCCTCACAGGTTTCCATGGGTCATGGTTCTATCTGAGAGACTGCAGTGGTCCAGCAGGGACGAAGTGAATGGAGTTGAATTGAAATGTTGACGTCACCCACTCAGGGTTAACTGTGTGTTGTGTATCCAACAGCGAAAGGGTTCAGAGTTCTCTGTTTGATATGTTTGCATTTGTTTTCACGCCAACAGCCCACAGTGTGTTTGTGTGAGGAGGCTTTGGACCGACCTTCACAGTATGATGTTTCCTTGACTCACCGGAGTGAAACACTGAATGGATGAACCAACAGGAGGGCGACGTGTTTGTTTACTCACTTCCCCCTGAATCCATTTATCAAAAGAAATCTTCTTTCAATTTCATTTCACTTGCGTCTTTCCAAACATTCTGCTGCCTCTCTGCAGCTTTTGTTATATGGAAAGATGTTGATAGTGCAGCTTGATATTTGCATCAAACACACAACAGTCGGTGCTCAAAGACGCACTTCATTGATGCAAAACAAACTCTTTTCTCTAACAAAAAAAAGAAACTGTGACCGATTCTTCCATTATATGCGCGTGTGGTGCTTGTGTGTTTGTGTGTGCGTCTTAATCGAGGCTGGGCACACGTCACAGAATAAATTTGTGTTTTGTAAATTTGTATTTACTGAAACCAAATGGTGCCGTATTAAGATTGAGCGAGAGAAGAAATCTCACAGTGAGGAAATCAGCGATGCCATTGCAACGTCAGCTGCGTGAACACAAACATCTGCATGTCACAAAGTTTCTAATTAGCCCAAAGCTAACGTGGGTGGAAGCGATGGACACGATGCCCTAATCGATTTGCTGCAAACAAACACGTCAACCTTGTTTTATTAATGTAGCACCTTTCAAACTAATTAAATTAAAAAAGGTGATAGTAATAATAATATTAATACAACTCTGCTTGTAAGCCAGATTGAATAGATTTGTACATAGTATTTATAGTTTATATTGAACTTGTATGTTATATTTCAGCTCCTCTCACATGTTCTGGAAGAAAGGAGCAGATGTTCGGCTCAGACTGCGGTAAGTCTGCAGGAAATGAATGTAAATTTATGCAACGTCCCCTAAAGAGAGCAAAGTAAACATGAGGCGAACATCAACATCCTTCACTGAGTGATTACCAGGGTCTTCTGGTAATCACTTACATCTAAATGAAAAGTTGTAACACACACACACACACACACACACACACACACACACACAGTCATTGGACCCTAGAGCAAATTACTGTTCACTCAGACAATACAAGCCGTCCTATTTGCTCCTTTTGCCCCATTTAATGATCGAGCCTCTGTTTCAATAAAGCCACGGGCCGCACCGCGAAAAACCCATCAACCACTTAGTGAAACCCCCCCACCGCACGCCGGCAGTCAGGCTGAAGGTTATTGACTCCAGCAATCAAGGCGGCTTGTTTCAGACGGGGGATTCTGTCTTTCAAACCGCGTGCAAATGCATCTACGTAAGAACTGCGCTTTACTCTTTTGAGAGGGAATCAATCGCCTCGCCTCAAATGAAAAATAAATGCAGACAGCTTTTGGTTGTGAATGGAAGTCCATGAGAAAATGAGCCTGCCTCTGATTGATTTAATGCACAAGACAATGTGTTCCTAAGTTAATGGTCTCCATCTCTCGTCCTCTTCATTGCAGCGTGAGACTCGTTTAGTTCATCATGTTCCCATTCAGGGGAATTTTTTACACGTTTGCGCCTCGCGTCAAAGTATCTTTGCTCCAGTTTTGGGCGGATTTAGTCAAATTTGCATATTTTCCTCCAAACTGCAAACCCTTTAACGAGGAATCTGCCCATCTTCTTTTCAAATGAAACATAATTGACCCGTGAACACCTCTGGTTCCGCGTGTATATCAAATCATCGTCGTTGCCATGGAGAAAGGGGCGGCGGTACTCGCCGAATGGACCGTCGACGCCTACAGGGAGGGACGGCTGCAGATCCCAGGTTCATGTCCCCCAGTCTCCACTCACGCTCACACACTCTGGCTTCCCCGAAAGAACATTAGAAAAAGTGATTTCCTCACTGCAGCCACGGCAGCTGCTGTGAGGAAATCCCCTCCGGCAAGTCCTTTTTTACCGAGCCGTAAACGGAGGAGGTTGGGAGAAGTTCTCTCCCCGAGGCTGTTCCACTCTTGCAGAGTAAACCTGCGTTATATTAAAAGGCACAGTTCATCCCCATTTTTTATCTATCAATCCAGATTGTTTTGTTGTGAAGTGTTGTGGAGGCGTCTGCTCATACTGATCCGATGTGACTTAGATGCGGGGCTCAAAGCGCCAAGAAAACACATTGGAAAAGATCAACGATAGCAAAACAAATCGTGCCGCGGATGAAGTGGAGGCCGCCGAACAAAATGTCTGCTCATCAGCGTCCCCTGTGAGGGAACCGCCGCCTCGATGGAGGAGCAACGAGCTGTCAAGGGAAACACCGGCGCGGTGCTTCAGAAGGCCCCCTCGTGGGCGAACGACCCCCCACCGACTGAAATCGATGCCAGCGGCCTTCACGGGGCTGAAGCTCAAAGACGCACCCCGAACAAGACGTCTCCAGAGGGGCCGCGGTGACTCGTTCGTTTATCTGCAAACGCCTCCGGCCATCGCCGGCGCGTCCAAACCTGCAGAACTCCTCAGCTGTTCAAGGCCGAGGAAACGTGCTCGCCCGCCTCACGTCAGCAGGAAACGCGGCTCTCTGCGCTCGTGGGAGAGAAGTCTGAAGGAAGCAAAAATAAATATGTGACCTAATGATTATAAAAAATAACCAAGAGCATAAAACGAAGCAGTGCTCTCTGGAACGTGGGAGGATTTGTGTTTTTAAAATGATTCCACAGGAACCACAGAGAGCTAATCTGAGGATGTTGTTACCCGGGTGTTTGTGCAGCTGCGCCGGTCACGTCAACCTCTCTCTCCGAGGTTAAGGGGACGCCATCGAGGACGGCAGGGAGTCCGCCAGTAATTACCAGCATGTTTTTAGGGTAAAATAAGATGAGATAATTAGTCCCGCGGCGGGGAAATTTGCAGGATTACAGCAGCAAAGTGGACGGAGCAACAAGCGGAAAACAAAACAATGTGAGGGCGGTCAAACGTTAAAGGTGTAATAAATTAGCCTCATAAATACCTCTGAATTCAACAAATATGTAGAGATGGAGATTAAAAGATGAAGGGTTAAGCTGAAGACGGCTAGATTCACTGTATTACCTGTATATTTACATTACTTTTGGTCATTCAGTAAATGATTTCTGGCTAATTCACTGCGCATATTTCAACTAAAGTTAGTGATTTATGATTCAAAAGTGAATTATTTTCAGAGACCTTTGAACCACGGCAAACCAAACTGAGCTGATTGTTGACAAAGTGCAGAAAATACCTGTTTGAGTGGTTCAATTAGAAAATGCTCCTTGGACCGGCCTTTTTGGATACCGAGATTCAGCAGCAAAAAAAAGCATAAATGATTCAGTCTATATAAATTGAACTAAATAATACATTTCTGTTGAGGTGACTCATAACTTCCGGCTCCAACTTTGGCACCAGCAGTCACCTCGGCAGTGGGTGTCTTCTGTTGTCTCTGTTGGATCTTATTGCGCATACTGCTGGAGAGCTAAAAACGGACCAGAGAAGCAGCAGCCTGGGACGAAGTAGAAGAGCCCGCTGCGGAGGGACTGACAGCGGGACGCGCATGGATCAGACCTCGGACCGCTTGATCGGAACGCGGTGTGACGGGGAATTATTAATTCACCGATGCGGGCCTGAAAATAGGAATCCTGCATCTTCAGGTCTCTGGAGCCTCTGTTCCGAAGGTCTGTTTCATCTGCAGCCTTCAGCGGGGTCTCTGAGCTCGCTAAACTATTCCCACCGTGTCTGATTAATTACAATTCATTTTCTGTACTGACAGCAGTCAAAAGGATTCGGGGTTTCATTAGGTCTGGGTTCATTGGAATTAATGTGAAATGATATAAAACCGCACAGTCGGTCTCAACAAAGGGTCCTGCAGAGATCAATTATGCGAGAGCACTGTTGAGGTCGGGGGAACGACCCCCACGCGTGTTCCCGTTTGGACGCGTTATCCAGAGTTCACCTTTGTTCGTCTTTGGAGGAGCGGACGTGATCCGTCAGCCAATAAAAACCCTCCTTCATTGTGTTCGGAACAGAGTTGTTGTTCCAGTGCAGTGGTGCCAATTCCTTTTTGATTGCGTAAGGAGTCGCGGTTTAAAATTAAATAACATTTTGAGCACTTTTGAGCTCTACCACAATGAAGAAAGGGAATAAACTGTTGGTTTCTGTCTTAAGGGCCCTCTTAAAACATTACAGTGCAACACAGATGTGAAATATGAATCAGTTTAATATTGAGATGTAACAAACAGGCAGAAAATATCTCCCTCTGTGCCAACGGGTTCCGACTCATTCATCGCTAAATTCGGTTGGACAAAATCAACTAAACAAACGTCATTCTGAAACTAGCGACTGAGACCATAAACTCATGATTGCGACGTTCATTGAGGTAAAAATTCAAGTGGCCATTTTCTCCTGGAATAAGAGAAAAAAGTCAGACTTTGTGCAACCAAAGCAGTCGCCCCCTGGTGGCCACTCGGGAGAAGGCAGGTTTAAGCCGCCTCAGCATTAGCTTCACTTTTCAGAGCAGATTTATTGTTACAAAGATGTATTGTTATAAATCAAATACTTATTTCTAAACCTGGAAGCAACGGTTTGATTAATACGCCTTTTAATTTATTTTATTTTGTCTCTCCTTCGTTCAACATACAGCTGTGCTGCTGCTCTTTTACTGTTACATGCTGTGTTTGTCTATTTAGTGACTGGATGTGAGTAGAATAATTGACGTAAACTCCACTATTGAACACGAAACCGTGAAAACGACCCTCCGGCTCATCCGGGTGCTTCTGAGGCAACGTTGAAGTGACGTCAGCCGGAGGAGACGCGGCGACCACCTTCTGATTCATTACAGTTTAAAAAAATATTGCTGCATGGTTGCGAGCGTTCGTGCATGCATGTGTGTGTGTGTGTGTGTGTGCATGTGTGTGTGTGCGTGTGCACGCAGCAGCGGCTGCCCCCCCCCCGACTTTACTCCTCTCGTATTCAGCGGATCTACTCGGAGCTCCCGTCGGCAGGAGCGCACACATCTGAGGAGTCTGATACGAGGAGCGATTCTTTTTCAAATATTTCTTTTGGACCGAAAACACGGACGGATTATCTGAGGCGCTGCGTGAGATCCAGGTGCAACTTTGCCCAGTTTCTGTTCTGTTCTGTTCTTTTTGGTGAAGGTCTTCAGCCCGGATCTCCAGGTAAGAGAACAGCATGAGACGTTTGAAGAGCTTTTCTCTGCGGGTGCGATTCGTCTCCTGAACACCTTCTATCCGGACAGCATCAGAATGGGTCTTTTATGAGATGTGGCTGGGGTGTAAATGATTAAGTTTCTTTTTACCCCCTTTTTTAAAGGCAATCATTTGATGTTGGAGCGCTCTTTGTTCATGAAGACATATCTGCCAAACAAGATTGATATGTCCCCGGAGACACTGTTTAATCACTGAATAATTAATACCACAGCTGTACCGCAATCATTCTTCTTCACCAAAATTACAGTAACGGTTTCCTGAGCAGAAACATCAGCTTCTCTTTTGAGGAACGCGCTATTCCTTTTTGTTTGGTCTGCTAGAGCCGATAACACAGCCTCTGCTGTCTGATGTTCTCTCCAAACAGATCCCACTGCAGCCCTGTGATGGACTGAAGGTGTGAGGAGAAAGAGAGAGAGAGACAGAGTGGGGGTGAGGGGGGTCTGCATCATGTTTCCTGAGGAAGCCTGTTAACCGCCTTTGGGGATTATCGGGTTGGCGCCGCTTGGAGGGGCGGTCGGGGGGGGGCCCGGTGACGTACACAATGTAGGATCTCCGAAGGTGTTCAGCGGAGCAGCAGCGCCTGCAGACCAGATGACCAACCCCTGGAAGGATGCTGCCAGCAAGGACCCCCGATTCTCACCCGCCCTTCCCTCTGCCCAACCTGTGAATGGGTTTTAATGAGGACCGAGGGAAACCAGGACAGTGACCCCCCTGCTGGGGCTTCCCCGGACCATGGATCCGTCCCGGGACGGGCCGTCCAGCTTCTCTCCGCTGCTGCAGCCCGACGGCTTTCAGGAAAGACTCAACCACACCTACACCCTCCGCAGCTCCATGATGCTGCCCGCCCCCTTCAGCTCCCCCCCGGCCTCCCTCCCTCACCCCTTACCCTCTCTGCTGCCCTCCTCCGTCATCTCCTCCCCTTTGTTCTCCACCGCCTCCGCCACCCGACAGCCCCCCGCCTCCGCCTTCCCTGCGTCCCCCTCCACCTTTTTCGCCGGCGACCTGGCCGACCTGGAGAGCATGCTGCTCTGGACTCTGCACGAGCCCGGCACCATCGCCCTGACCGCCATGTACTGTCTGTCTTTCCTCCTGGGGTTCGTGGAGAATTTGATGTCCCTGCGCGTCCTCACCACCAGGCGGAGCCGGCGGCTGGCCGGCGTGAGCGCCACGCGCAACCTCCTGGTGAACTTGGCCGTGTGTGACCTGGCGGTGGTGTGCGTGTGCATGCCCCATCACCCTGGGCAGCCAGATCTACAGCGCCTGGGTCTACGGCGACCTCCTCTGTCGAGCGGTGCCCTTCACGCAGGCCGTTTCCGTCTCGGCCAGCGTGTTGACGCTGACCGTGATCAGCGTCAACCGCTACTACAGCGTTCGGTCGCCGCTGCGCGCCCGCTCCATGTTCACCCGCCGCCGCATCTTGGCGACCGTGGCCGTGGTGTGGGCGGTGTCTTCGGTCATGTGCGCCCCTATCGCGGTGATGAACCGGCGGCGCAGGATCAGCTTCGGGACGTTCGCCATCCTGGTCTGCGAGGAGAAGTGGCCTCAGCATCGCCTGAAACAGGGGTAGGTTAGCTGCACGATTGGGTCCACCATCCAATCTCACCGGGTTCCAGGTGGTTTTGTCCGAGCGCAACGAGCCGTTGGGGGACGTCGGGCCGCGGTTGAGGTTTAGTCCGTCACCATTCGTTGGTTTTAATCGTGTCCAACTCCGTTTTGCAGCAATTGGCTCGGGTCACAGGTCGGTTTGATGACTCACGCTGCACAAAATGATTCAATCAACATGAGCTCGGGTCTCGGGCGCCATTCGTCTGCATGTCGGCATACTGCCCGTGCTGCAGGGAAAATGTGCAAAGTTTGCCTTTGATCTCCCCCTCCCCCTCCTCTTGATCTAACAACAGGTGAGGGAGGTGTGTGTGTGTGTGTGTGTGTGCGCGTGTGTGTGTAGCCGACACAGGCCCCCACCGCGCTACACGTTAAGCCCGTCCACTTTTTAGCGGCCCAATCGAATGCAAAGGACGTGATTTTAAATCCCCTTTCCAACCGTAACCACTCAACTACTCACTGGGAATTACTGCGCCGTGCAGCAGCTAAATAAACTAAGGGAGCTCTGACTCCCGTTTCCCCGGGACTTTAATGACCAACTAAGCCACAGGAACTGGAAGACGTCGTCGGTGAGACGCTCTCTGATTGGCGGGTCCACCCAGTGAGTCACAGATCAGTGAGAGAATAAAATATGACATTGACTGTTAAACTTTAGTGTGCAATGATGCAGCTTTCTTTCAGACATATTTTCAAGTGACGCCTTGAAAGTTAAATGATCTGGAGCATCTCTCTCTGATGTGTTAGCGGATCGCTAACTGGAGCGCATACGAACAGGTGGCCCAGCGGTTTTGTGTGTCCGGTGCCTTTAGATTCTCACTTAGGGACCAACTTGCCCTTCAAACCTCTTCAGCTCCATTTCATCTGCAAAACTCAGGGTCGAGAGACTTTCAGTTGTGGTCTTGTCGAAAACGAGTGACTCAGAATGACTTCCATTATGTTTACTACTCTTTGCTTCATATGACATTATGGCTTCTTTGTTTTCCAATTGCTTTGTGACTGTGTGCTGCAATCGGTTCAAATAGGATTGATTATCTAGTTACCATCAAAAATAATTCTGTGAGTTCACTGATAACAGTGTTGTCCCATCAATCTTTGTATCTAAGGAGCAAAGGTATCGTTTTTTTATGCGGCGATCGATGATAAATTGAGCGTGTGATAGAAATATACTCCACTCGACAGGCAAAGGGATTTTCCAGCATGAGAAATTATATATTTTTTAAACCATAACAGTTTATTGTGATGAATAAATGGTTTAATTAAATCAGAAACTCAATTGGAATTGTTTTTCCTGCCACAGATACAACGTGCTGCTCTTCGTGATGCTCTACTGCCTGCCGGTGACCTTTAACCTCACCATCGGCTTCTTGACCGGCAGGCGGCTGTGGGGAGGGAGGAAATCCACCTTCGCCGACCTCGACCCCCGCAGCGAAGCTCTGCACGCCTCGCGCCTCAAGACGCGCCAGAAGATCGCCAAGATGGTGGTGTGCCTGGTGCTGCTGTTCGCGGCGTCCTGGCTGCCGCTCTACCTGGTCGACCTCTGGATCGACTGCGAGCAGCGCCCGCCGTCCTGGCTCCTGCAGACCCGCCCCTTCGCCCAGTGGCTGGGCCTCACCAACTCCAGCCTCAACCCCATCTGCTACTGCTTCATCGGGGACCTGTACCGCTCGGCCAAGGTCATACGCACACGCTACTACCAGAAGGTCGCCGCTCTGTTCGGCACCGCCTCCTTCTCCAGCTCGGCCGCCGCGGCCTCCCCCGGCTCGGTGATCACGGACGCCGGGCTGACGCCGTCGGCGTCCTTGGCCGCCATCCCCAGGCTGTTGAGGTTGGCCCGAGGCCAGCGGCTGGGGCAGAAGGCGGCGGCGGCGGCGGCGGCGGACGACGGCTCGGACGGCCCGGCGGGCTCCCAGCACAGCATCTCAGACTGGTGCCGCTCCAGTCCCAGCGCGTGTGACGGCTCGCCGTTGCCCTGCCAGCTGCACGCGCCCCGGCACGCCGCGCCAAGCGCGCACCTCCCGCCCACCAGGAGACACTCGGCGAATGAGGGCGCGGGGTCGCTACCTTTGCGAGTGGCGTCGTTGGAAGTAGACGTGCTGCCGTTGAGGAGGCACTCGGGGGGAAGAATTTACGGTCGGTCAGCCGACGACAGAGGCGGCGTCGGCGCGGGCGGGGACGCCCTTTGTTACGCCGGACGGCGCGGAGGCGCAACGTCACAGGCCTACTTCCTGGTGGGGGACGGGGAGAACGAGACCACCGAGGTGACCAGCCTGTGAGGTTCGTGTTGAAGATAAACTGACCTGGTCTCTGCGCAATGAAGTTCCGGGATCGACGTTTGCACGGATGAGTTCACGTTTCCGTGATTGAGCGAAGCCTGCAGGGACAGAGCTGGGGGGGGAGGAGGGGGGAGGGGGGGTCATTAGGCCCCGGGTGAGAGAAATGGTCGCTGCTCGAGGCGGTGCACCGTTACATGCGAGTCATATCATGAGTAACTGAGCTGCTGGTCAAAGTGGTGCTTGGGAAATAACCCGGCGGCAAGTGTTCATGTTCTCTCGCATTGCTTCGCTAATGTAGAGCTGCCGTATGAGGTCTCCACGGGACGAGATCACAACAATGTCTGCAGTCTGGGAAAGATAAGCACTCGTCCTTGTGTGCAGCCGCACAGCTGATTTGCAGGAAAAATGAGGCAAACTGCAAAAAAAACCTCCCACACGTACATTAAATGGTGTTTAATTTGCACATAATAACTGCGATATTCTATTTCGATGTGAAATAACTCGGATGGTTTTGGATGTTTGAAGATTCGGCCGAAACAAGCAGGTTTTCTTCATTCAGAGGGAATTTTAAGGGGCGAAAAAACGAACAAAACATTTGTTGTTTTCAACTGTGGTCGTGACTTTTCTGATGCCGGATTTGTAATTTATGGTCTCAGGGCACAGAATGATTGCTTTGTTTTCACCTCATCATTCACGGTGTCTTTGCTTGATGGGTATTATCTGTTTTTTTTGGGGCCGACTCATCAGTAGTGACAGGAATCCATCTTGTCATTATCGTTCTCAGACAGCAGCGGGAAAGTTGTTCAGTGGCGCGAGAAGCAAAACAAGATTTCAGAGTCAAGAATGCAAATGAAAATGAGCGGATATTTTGCAGGGGAAATAACTGGAATGTGCTATTTTTCGTGTTTTCGCAGCAGGCGTTGATCTCCTTCACACTTGGGTTGTTTGCAATATGCCGCCTCGTCTCTAGTAGCTTCCCACTATCCCCCTAAACTGATTTAACGAGGGAAAGAAGCTTTTTGTCCGTTCTGAAGCCCAACGAACAGTTGGCGATTGTCATGAAATGTTTTAAGTGCGCGTCGTTTACGCTGTTGAACCGCTCGGAGGTGTTTCGCTTCTCCCGCTCCAGACAAATAAAACTAAAAAGACACATTAGATGATCCATTCTGTCCCCCTGCGAAGGTGTGAATGGCTTTATTTGTTTCTTCCAAGCACGGCGCTCAAACCGCCGATCAGATTGACGGACCTGTTGCTAGGATATCAATGTTTATGCTATTGAATGATACTTTTATGGAATACTTCTTAATTTCGTGGTCGTTCGCTTGCATATGCTGACATGCAGTGCGTAGCCCCTTTGCACCGGGACAAAATAAACCCCCCAAAAAATCTGAAATGTTTGTGATTCGGGACTTTATACTTTTATCACATTGAGTGGATTGTATATTATTTTTAGCATTATTACAGTGGGACTAAGCAGCACATGCCTTGTTGAACACTGAAGCACGGGGGCCACGACATTAAATGTTAAAAGAAGTAAAACGCACTCACACACAAACACGGAGGAAAGCAAACGGACTTCCCCCTCAGGCCGCCGTCTGCAAGGCAGAGGTGGTGAATCGCATGTGAGCGCGAGCCGCTAATCACACTCTTGTCCTCAGCGACCAGGAAGTGGCGCAACACTGGAGGCACCAAACTGCGTTGAAAGCGTCCTATTTATATCAGCGGGGGGGGTGTGTGTTGCTTTGTACCTGGGAAGAATCTCAACGCCATCGTGCTGTGTCTTTCCTCTCTTTTCCCCCTCTCGATTGTTTTATCTACCTCGCGCTCTCTTTGTCAGCTTTGCACTGTGTGAATAGAGGCTGCGTGTGCTGATGAATTATGTGCATTTGGTGTTTCATTAAAAAAAAAGAAGAAAAAAAAAGAAAAGAGTCTGTGTGTGGTCACCTGCGCCTGCGGCTGAAAACGTCTCGGGATTTTCACACCTTCTCGAAGATGCATCGCGTTTTCGTCCGCCGTGGATCAGTGACTGCAGAAGTAGTTGTGCATGCTGATTAGTTCATCGCGTAGAAAACGTAACTCAAAGACAGCTGTCTCCATTGGAAAAAAGTCAGCGGCACACTGGAGCCCGTTCCATCTACAGTTTTATGTTTGTTTTTCCACACAGTTTCTCTGTAAAAGTCCTTGAGACTTTAAAAAACGAAACAGACCCCATTTACTTCCCTAAAAATCATGTCTGTTTCTTGATTGTCTGTTTCACTGTGGAGGCGTGCAAGAAAAACTTCTTCGTGAAGAATTTCAAGTAACAGGGTGAATAAGTGATATTTAAATGGTAATTTTGTGCCGAAATGACTCCTTTAACTTTGGAATAAACGCTCCTTTGAATTAGAACCCGACAAGTTAAGAGCTCGATTGGGGTATTTATCCCGTTCCTCCATGCAGATAGATCGATAATAAAATGTTGTCTAACAACAGGTGGAAAATATGATGCTGTTTTTCACACACACACACACACACACACACACACACACACACACACACACACACACACACACACACACACACACACACACACACACACACACACACGCGCATACATACATTTATTAAGACAGGCATACCAGTGACTCACAACGAGGCTCCACATCTCATGATTGCTCTCATTTCTCCAGAGGTCCGACCTTTTTTTATCCCGTCATCAGCCTTCTTCGTCTTTCAACTCTTTCTTGTTGCTTTCGGCCATTTTACGTCTTTGCCAACAACAGACCAATTTTTCTTTCTCTTCCTTCATTACCATCTTCATATCTCCGTATTTTTTGGCAACAAGACAAGGGCCATTAAACACGTCAGCGCTCACCCAGAGGGGCGATGCACACTGAAAAACTAAAAATAGTGTGAAACAATATCCTCGATGTGAGACCTCTGTTGCAAAGACGGCAAAAACTGCTTATATTTGACAAAGGTCGATTACAGAAGGGATTCTATTTGTATTCTCATCGGAAACCACATTCTACTCGTGACACAACATCAAATTGCTTTGAGGGATGTAACACCGAGAGCAGGCATTAAATGATGCGTTCACATCTGCGAGACGATAATTATACTCATGCTGTCAACTTCAATCGGGGAAATAAAGCTGCTTTTTATTTTTCTGTTCCTGTACGTTTTTGCACTGCAAATTGAGAAACATCACGAGAGGAATCGTCATCTTGGATAATTCCCGTCCCACTCAAGCCTTCCTTTTTGAACGGACGGATTGGCGACCTGTCAATCACAAGGTGGTCCTCCTTTGTGATGTATTTCACTCACATTCACATTATGCGAATATCATGTTATGTTGATGAAGACTGACATCTTAACTCGTGATTACAATGTTTACTGAGATGTTGATCAAGGGCTAACAAGTGGCTAAATGAGACCACTGAATGTCCTCTGACTTGTGGTCATGTGACCGTGTTGTGGGTCTTTTAGAGCCAGAAGTTGCATTCGAGCAGAACCTGATACCGATTCGTTCCTGTCAATCGACCAGCTGATCGTTCAATTGTTTCCGCTCTCAGTGTGGACACATCGGGACCTGCAGTGGCCTCAAAAATCAAATAAATGCCCTTTAAAATCAAGGCATCATATACCTGATTTTGCCTAAAGCTGGTGACCTACTTAAATATACACTGTACAGGAAGTGCACTTTGTTATTCAAGGTTCAACTGCAATGGTTGTTCTCACGTCGTCCCTTTGTCTCATACTTCGGTTGTTCTGGTTCAGTGTTTCCTGTTTTATTTTGAAATGCTCACGTGGTCTCTTGGTACCTGCATCGCTGGTGCTGCTCTGATGTTTAATTAATCTACCTGCTGAGTAAGAAGAGGAGAGAAGAAGAAGCTGTGCTGACGCTGAGTCGCCGTTATAACGGGCACATTAAACTTTGAGGGGCTCAGCGGGACGGTTAACGCGACACGACGGCTAAAGGGCCTCAGAAGGGACGAGTGAAGCACATGCTGGAATAAAAAGTATAAATGCTTTTTTAATACTTTCTCAAAAAGAGACTGCTGTCTTTCCTCAATCACATCCTCTCAAGATCTAATCAACCACGACCGAGACACTCGAGATCCGACCAGACGAACAGGACGTCGCCGTCCCACCAAATGTAATTTAGAAAAGTAAACAGACGTCGCCATCCTGCTAAATTTGGAAAAGCTGAGATAAGTCCGTCCCAGTTAAAGTCCCATCTTACGTTTCAATCAAAAGGCCATTACCTGCGTGCTCGTGTAGAGAGCGAGCGAGAACAAAATGGCTTCAAGCACATCTGTCCTTACTTTTTAGTGAGTCATAATTTCACAAGACAATTATGCTCCTTCGCATGTGATCCGTCACCTTTAAGACTCGGGGTGTGTTATTTAAAGCCAAACGCCGGGTGTGTGCTGTAGGTCCGTCATCAACTCTGTCACAGCTGCTACTTTAATTCTTGTTTTATTTTTCCTCATTTAAAAAGATAATCCTCAACAGTCGAGTCTCTCGGGTGCAGCCGCCGGGTTATTATCCACTCCATCAATTAGCTAGTTAGTCTTTGCTTACTACAGCTGGCAACACAGCTGTACGCAAAAGCTGAGCCAAAAATACACGCTTTATTTTTTACAGTTTTTTAATGTTTTGCAGTTAATGAGCTGCGATGGGATTAAACTGAATGCACGTGACTGAAGAGGAAATTCGGTTTAACATGCAGACTGGAGGTCGCAGCGAGCCGATGCTAACGCAGTTACAGATCTGCTGAATGGATCCTCAATGGTGCAACAACGAAAATACATTTAGAACCAAAAGAAAACAAATGCAGGATGGTCATTGGGTGAGAACAGGGCGGTGACGTGAGTGCGTGACGGCAGCCACGATACCCTTGCACATGACCTTTGGGGTCACATGATGCGTGTGGCGGTCGTCCACAAATCCTCCCCCTTTATTTTTCTTTTCTTTTGTTTTCGTAAAAATGTAATATAAAACATGTATATAATAAATATGATCGAGGAATAATTAAGCATCATGCCAATTTACAACTGACGCTAGTTAGCTCTCTCACACACGAAGGGAAGCTGGCAAATGGACAATTAGGAGAAAGCTGCACTCATTACTAGAAAGTAAGG